ATTCTTTGTCGTAAAGCATGATTACTTTCTGCGTGTACCGCAATTACTTTTTGCAAATGTCGCTGCCATTTCTGCCAAGTATTTTTCGGTATTTTCGATATGAAAAATTACTTCGGCACGGAGTGACAATATTTACGGTACTTTTGGTAAGTAAAATCGGTACTTGTTCCAAATTAATTTACAATACAAAATATCTCCAGGAAGATAGCCTACGTGTTGCAATCGAATCCACGATGAAATAGTATATTGTGCGTCAAGGACGGAAAGTCAGTGTTTTCCGGCCCAAGGTGCACATACTATTTTTAAACATGACTACAAAGGAAACTTCGTGTTTCGCTGTCTGAAAAGCGGAAGGAAAGTGAATACTTTCCGCCCTAAAGTGGGAAATTGATCTCAAGGGCACAATGTGTTGACTTTCCGGCCTTGTCAGCATCTTTCTAAGGTGCGAACTTTCTAAAGTGCGAACTCACTCATTACTTTGGGCCATTCCTCGAATATTGGTGCACAAGATACTATTATTCACTCACGCCGATGAATTTTATTGAGTGCGCATTGCAAATTAACTCGATACGCGACAACTAATTTCTAATAATACAAATATTAATGATATGATCCATCCCTGAAATCGAATCTAACCATTCGGCTTTATTACACTGGCATTCAGCACGTTTGGTACTTGAGACAAGTACAAAATTTTTATTGCTTCCAAAAATCCTTTGATATTGGCGACAAGTATTTTACTCACGATCATTCAATGTGGCGGCAATTTTTTTTTAGTCTGACTAAAACACGCTCTCACCTACTATTCTCTTAATGACTTGATTTCATTCAAATATAATTCTGACTTGTCACACTATATCACACTAAATTATGCCAGGCTATCTACAGATCCGTGTCGTATTAAGTTATTAAAGTAAAAAATCAGAAGATATGCTGCAACCGTCACATTTTCCATCACTGGGTTAATCGACCGTGCACCACTACGTTTGCTTATGTTTCGAAATAAGCCACGGCGTCAGAAGAATTGCATTACAAACCATATATTCTACTACGTTGCAGAAGATTAATTGATTATGTCTTCCCGATGAAGTTACATAATGTAGTAATAACTCTTATTGAATTTCAGATATTTAAAGAATCTAATTTGATAAGTTGAATATGATGCAGTATAATACAAGCTCCAAAATTATGCGACAATAGTTTCGGAAAATATGCAACGATGAAGGACAGTCAAAGGAGTGTCCAGGCAGGCCAAGGCTCGAATGCCTAATTGTCCTCTGACTCTGTCCATTCACCCTGTGGAATCCTTGTTTTGAGCTCGACATCACTGGGGGGTGTTAAACCCTCGTCTCTTCCAGTCATGCCTCGGTTCTCCCTTGTCTCCAACTCAACGTAAAATTTACCCCCTTTAGGAGATTATTAAATAAAGTTAGAGATTCAGTCCAGAATTTAATGTGCAACATCAGACTTTGTTATTATACAATTAACCCAAGTATCGTTTGGTGGATTATACCACGGGAAGGTCTCGGGTGTTTCTTATCGCACATAAATTTTCCGTCCAGTGATGGATTTGGATCCTCTAAATACTGGAAAAGTTTTACTATAATATTTATGTAATACGGTTTATGTCATACAGTTATATTTATGTAATATAGAAACATCCTATGTATAGGGCATTCTCCGAAAAACAAACAGGATTAAAATTTTGAAATTCGGGCTTTGCTGATTATTGAGTAATAGTACTGCGCGAAGTATTCATGAATATTTTCAAACCTTCCATTCTCAGTGTTCTCGAAATATGAATTGATAAAATTTTTTTTTGTAAAAATTCATAACTGCTGAAAAAACGACGAAATGACGTTTTTTTTAAAATTTTCATTTTTAACTATATTTTTATTTTAAAAATACTGCAAGAATATTGATTATTTATAAAGTGAGGATTTCCAATTGTCCACACAAATTACATAATTACCGGTCGGTTGGATACTTTCTTTTTTTCAATTCCTGAGAAAATTTTGATTTTTTCAATTAGTTTTGCGGTTTTTTCATCATGAGGAAACAATTCTTTATATTTTTTTCTAGTTTTCATATTTTCATCACATTTTCTTTTATTCTAGAACCAAGGCTTTCCGTCCTGGGGGCAACTTTCCACCCTAGGCCGGAAAGTATTCAAAGTGCACCTCGAGTGGAAAAATATGTAATTAATGATTCGGCTGAATTCCTTGAGTTTCATATTTTAAATTTCACGATAGAAAGAGCAAAGGGTTATATTTACCCCCAAAAAAAAATCAGCGAAACCAAAATATCAAAATTTTATTCGTGTTGTTTTTTTTTGGAGAATGTCCCATATCTGTATTGTTTACGTAAAAATTTGACCAATATATTAGTGAGTTATGTGGCAGAGTAAAAGGTCATTATACGAATGGGGGGTTATGTCGTGGTAGAAGTAACCGCATATGAAAATGGAGAGAGAGTTCTATTGAAAATCATGTTTAGTACCATCAGCATATATGCACGTATTGTGTAGGGTGGAATGAAATTGTCTCTATCAATACTGATATACATAAAGCATTAGTCACGAATTACACGGTCTTGGGAAGATCCCGCAGGGTTGTACCTGTATTCCTAATTACATCAGAAAAAATAGTGTCACATCCAACGGTACTTGTTCTGTTCGCTCGATGCAAATAACAAACGCATATATTCCCTTTTGGTATAACTATTGTTGCTACTAAATTGAACAAACAATTGACTCTGGAGCGGACACTCATTTTCATTATTCTTCTCATTAGTAGATCCATCTGATTATTTTTCTATCATTACATATGGAATTTTGATTAATCATATGCGCAAAGTTTATGAAATCATTGTGTTTCAACTTAATCGTAATTTAGGTGCACCCTGAATTCTAAAATACATTTCTTCCATTGTTAATAAAATTTGTGTCAAATGATTTTATATTAATTTCTGGATTAGGCTTTGTACAGATCCCCATTCTTGTTCATGATTGTGTAAATGTATCCCAATGCTATTTACTGCACTGTGTTTGGCAAAAATCCGCATGGAAAAATCATTCGTAAAACATTACTCGTCCTTCAAAATTAATCAAGTGTTTTCCTCAAAGTTCCCTGTCTATAGAAACGAGTATGCCAAATTTAAAAAAAACTATAAAATTTAATGCAATCATTTCTAGAAAACGAAATAATTGAAAAACATCCGATAATTTTGCACTGGTAGTATAATGACTGAAAATTATTGGAATTCAGAAAAAATTGTGAAAAATCGGGGCAGACAGCATCTAAAATTTTCAGGTATCAGGTTCCTAGACCATATTCAGTTACTCCGAGTCCAAAATTGGAAACTCAAATTTGAACGAATACAGAGCTTTCATTCAGAAGAATAGAGGTGAGAATACCAAATGGCTCTTGAATTCAACAAGAAGGTAGGGAGAATGAAGGATAGGAGAAGGTATGATACGGGTCAAGTTATGAGACTATACCAAGCCCATTGAACTCCAGTTGTATATCTCATACAGTATTTACGACACAGAACAGTACAATGGTGACAAAGTCCACAAGAATCACTCGTTTATGCGTTATGTTCACGGATAATCCGTGAATTCATAGCAGTTTTGAGGATGCTGGGGTAGAGGGTTGGTTAATGTAGTTCTTATGAATTTGAGACTAAGTCTCAGACATCTACAGCGACATTGATATATGGAGGTAAAAATAAATAAAATGAAGAATGGAGTGAATTCTTGGAATGATTCGCCGCTGATTTATCAAATATTTCTTACTGAGGTGTCTGGTTGTGTTTCGGATTGTTTAAAATGGATTCGCTGCATCTATAGCTCTGTATGAAGCATTCGTCATCGATCCGGCCGAGACTACACTGATACGACGGTTCATCCATATCAAATGCAATTTGTTAACTATCCACTGATAGTATACTGCAATATGGCCAAAACAATATTAGTATTAGTACTAGTTAACGAATGGTACAGTCGAGACGTTATATAATAACGCCTTTCTATAATAATATAATTTAATTAATATAATATAGTTTAATATATATAATTTGTTTATAATTCAGGAATCAGTTGTTGGAGTGAATGATTGGCTGAGCTGAGTCCTCCAATGTAGCAACGGAGATGAAAAGTGCGATTCATTTCGCCGAACATATTTTTAATTAAGTCAGTGTAGTAACAATCATTAGTATCATTGAATCATTGGTTTTACTTGAGAGAGAGATCGTTTATTTTTTGAATCAAGAATAAAATGGGATATTAATTAATTTATATTAATAATTAATTAATATTAATGGGATTCTAATACACGGCGGACCCGACTAATGGAGCTCAGAAAACTCATGATAAATACTAATGTCAATATCAATAATTGTAATGTTGAGATAAGGTTGATTTGTTAACTATTAACGAATAATTATTTGTCTCACCCTTTTGCATCAACTGATGTTCGTATTTCAGCACAGCTGCGGGTTTTATGAGAACATTCGCTTTGTTTGATCACTGAGATTAATTGGGTTTGGCTAATGAGGAAAAATAAGGTATTCAAGAGGAATATCGCGAAAATGGCTTTATGCATCTGAAGTGGAATGAATATTGACTATTAAAAAATTGGGAAAGGCCCAAGCAAATTTATTTCTTAATAATAAATTAATCGTCTATTCGTGTAATCGAGAGATTATTTATATTCAATCTATGCTGATCTTTATCATTAAAAATTGAATATTTTCCTCGAAAAAATAATGCTAACATCGCTGAACTAGGTTGGTTTAGTATGAGTTCCATCATCGAATAAAAGAGTTTCCATCAATAACTAGGTGATACAATACAAGCGTAATGGAAAAATTGTGTACATCGAATTTGTTATTGAATTTCCACGGTGTAAAATGCAGATTCAATTATTTTTTGTACAACAATAGGTGCAATTTGGTGAAACAATGGGTGACTAACAAAGTGTTTTCTTTTGTGTTTGCAGGGCTTCCAGTGTCCGTGGTTCTGATTCACCCCTCAGTTCCGAGCTTGCCCTAGACAAACCTCGTCCAATACCATCACCCCGGTGAGTCATAAAATCATAAAACACCCTTTCTCAATTTACCGGGAGAGCTTCAATTTCCTGGTGTGTTACCCTTCATTTTTTTTTTCTTACCGACAGACAAATTCATCCCCTATATGGCGAGAAAGCTGGGCTTTTGGGGTATTACGACACAGTCGGTAATACGGAGAATTTTCCACCCGCTCCGAATATTGTTGTTGAGGGTGGAAGAATCGAGTTTGTAAGGCCATCGCATGATGGCACCACAACGACACGAAGAAATACAGTATCACGTGGATCACAGACATTCATTGAACAACCAGAAAAGTCTGATCCAGCCAAGGTGAGTGTTGACACTAATTATAATTCCATTATTTAACCCTTCCTTTCGTTCATCAAATGACCCGTCACGGGATTCAAACAAAACTCTTGGGGTTTACAACCCCTACATCACCTCATTCTGTATTCATGGAAGAGATAATTAATTTTACCAACAGTTAGCGAATTTATTTTTCAAATCACGCGCCAAGTCTTCACCTGAAAAAAGTGCCGCCAATTTTTCCACTTGAAATTAGAGATGAATGAGCCTAATTTTTGATTGACACCCTATCCACTTGAGACATTAAACATCAGCTCGTTTGATGGATATTAAATGATCGTGAGGGCTCGAAGTGGGGGAGAATTGAAGTTCAATCGGACCAAAAACCACACGGCCGCATCACAGACTCTAAATTCCATCACTCCCCTTTGACAATTCTAACCCGTTCCAATGCATCATCCACTTCCATTCAGGGAATTCAATCTACTCGTTTTACTCCCTTGTCGTTGGATTAATTTTAACGATTTAATGAAACTGTGGTATTTCGTTCACGTTTTCAAGTACGCTCTCCTTCTTCTTGTTGTCTCCGAACAGAAGCTTTAAATTCGCTCAAATTTCAATTATTCATTTTTCCAGTGAAGATAAACAAATATGGTGTAAAAAGATACAAGCTGTATATTTTTTTTCCTTTTCCTTTTTTCCTTTTTTCATCAAATACGTTCAATGGAATTTGCATGAATTTAATCGTCAGTGAGCTCTATTGGTCAATATCAAATGAAATCACATTTGTTATAAATTTTGCGAGATATCCCTATCTTCAGGTATTCAAGTATTCCAACAATTAACGATTCTAACTGCCATTGCAGGGTAGTACCACAAGACATTGACCACGTATTATGGCAATCGCCGAATTACCGTATAATCGAATAGATAACTTATTACAATGTCTAAAAAGAACATCTTGTACTGCCCCTTTCACAACAAAAAAATTGGCGAATGCAGCCGACACTTATATTACGGAAATTACGATAAGAGAATTGGAAATTCTTGAAAGGCTTTTGGATATGGTTGTCTGGACGCGATTGAGAGTTTTCGTCTGGACATGTGAAATGTTGAATCTGAGTGATTGCTCTGGTGGAGGATCGGATGGTGAATTGAAGTAAAGGGGAAAAATGTTGAAGCTAACGAGTCGACAGACGGTAGCCGTGAGTGCAGGGCAGCCGAGTTACTACCGATCTAATTCATGCCAATTTTCCCGGACTAAAAACTTTTGCATCGCTTAATTCAATTAGTTACGCTCCTCGATCCCGGCAATTAGCATATTTACATTTGCTCTCGTGGTGCCGCTACACAGGCTATGAGCCTCTTTCTACATGTTTTAATCTTTCTCACTCGTACGTGGTCTTGAGGACTTGATAAAACCAACGGGGTAATTTCTATTGGCCATCGTGCCTACGTGTGATTCTGTGTAGCTCGTTGAGATAAGGACGAACTGATAATCGCACTAGTGAATATATTTTCATATAATTATTTTCTTTTTTTTCTTCACTTTTCTTTTTCCATGCCCTCGGTGGGAGATTCACCTTGCGTTAATTATTAATTTAGGAGATTGTTTAATCGGGATTATTATGCATTGATGGATCTCGTTTAATTAGAATTTTTGTGCGCATTTAATCTGTTGTGGCTAAGAGGCGAAGGGGAGGGGAGGACTTTAGAGGGATGCCACAAGATTAATGTCCGGAAATTGTGGAGGTTGCAGAGTTTGTGCATTTAGTGCTTAAATGGAAATAATAAATCTTTCAGTTTATTCATTTTGATAATGTAAAATTTTATTTATTTTTTCCTTCAAATCGAAATGAGCTAATACTCCATGAAATTCAACACTCGCTGAAAAGAAGGTACATAATGAATTTTCGATGGATGTATCTTTAAATTTGAAAATTGTAACGCATTCCGAGAATTTTTAATGGAGTTTTAGTTATCTAATATCTAATATTTATCTGAAATTTGCGGGCGGAGCAATGATGGTGTCAAGTTTTTGCCAAGAAAAATTGTAAGACTGTCCAGTTTAGCAGGACAAAGTTACGGGCAAAACCTGACAATTTCATAGGTTTATAACACTACTACTCCGGAATATAGCCATAATCTTGGAAATCCCATGATATTATTTTTACTACTGAAAGTGGTAATGGTAAGTTTTTCGAGTAATTGTTTGAGAGTTATGGACTGGAGTCCAACCTGGGTATTACAGTTTTTCTCTACATCTCCAGAAATGGTACATTCTTGTGTTTTTGATAGCTTGATAATCATATAATGATTAGCGACGTGTACTTTTATTGAGGAATTTTTTTTTTCATAAAAATCGAAAACAAGTCGTTGAAATAATTCCCACGAAAATGGCGACTATAAACTTCAAGAGTTAAAACATTCTACAAGATGAAACATTTTGTTACTGGCAAAGATTACTACCAACGCAAATTGTACGTTTTATCTCCGATAACCCATGATTTACAATGTTCAAGTTTTTCACCACCGTTCCCTGTAATGATCCTCGACACATTTACAAAATCTAATAAATCAACCTGTCTAAAATAGACAAAGTACAATCGATAGAACACCTGAACCCATACATAATACCATCGTCGTCCAAGTTTTTAGCATTGCTCTAGACACCGTAAATGATCCCTTACGTATACAAGGAAATACATACGACTTTCATCGTATAAAAAGGAATTAGAGAGCCGGAGAGAATAAGACAAAGAGAGAAAACCGTCTGGAATTTATCGCGCGTGTGCACCTATAGAACATTCACATTGTTACTTTACCACCAAATGGCAACCGTTGAAACAAAGAAACAAGGAAAAAGAGAAGTACACAAGAAAGCAAAAAATAGAGACAAGGAAAAATGGAGTTGAAGAAAAAGTGCTCCCGTGGGCAACTCGAATTTCACGGGCGACGAGATAGCAATACGAAATTGGAGGGAGTTAAAAAAATGAAGTGAGCGGAGGTTCATCTGGATGCTACAATTTTTTCACCCTGATAAAAGGACCGATTGATGATAATAGAACCTCTTTTATGCTTCCATTGTCGGAGGTACGTTGAAATGCTCGACCGTATGTCACTCAGTTTCACTTCTGTCCAGTTTTTTTTTTCCAACTTTTTTTTTTTTTTCATTGTCCTCGTCACTTTTATTGTGAATACACTTTTAGTTGGGTTTTATCGCTGAGGGACGCGGGGTAGGAGTGAATGGATCAACATGATGCTCCCTTCTGAATTTCTGCAAGGGGTGAAAATAAAGCTCTTTTTATGTTTATTTCCTTTTTTTGGCATTTTCGAGTCTGGGAATTCGAGATTGGAGGGGTTGATGCTAGGTTTTGATGTTTGGGGGAGAATTTTTGGGTGGAAAAATCGGGGATTATACCACTGAGTATGGGGATTTTCCACCGTTATTTATATTTCATATCAATTCAATGGATTATATTCTTAAGTTCCATATTAAGATTCTCTGAGCGAAATTCACGTGTCAGAATTCCCTACCTCACAATACCCTCAGGTCCATATTCCCCACGAGAAAAATCACCCGCAGCAGGACTACCTTGAAAACTTTAATGTTCAAGCATATAAATCATAATTATTTTCATAAAAATTCATTAAATGTTGAATGCAAATTTTCGTCAACCCACTATATAATTGGAAGAAAAAACGAGATAAATACTCTGTACGGGGAATTTTATCGGCAGGAATTGAATTAGGAGAATCGTGGCCTAAGAAATATATTGACATGAAGAAAAGACATGGGACGGAGAATTTTCACCGAAAAATTTGGCGTGTCATCAGATTCTTATCAATTTGATGATTGTGACAATTCAATTTTTCAGCAATCTTTCATTCTTGTCGGACTAGAGAGCGAACGCGCGCCTGGCAATTTGTTTTCTGTCACAGACTATTAATCTGTAAGATTATACTGTTAAAAAATTGCTGCTGAAATATCATAGAAACACCTTAGAATATTTATGTCATAGGATTAATGACATAAAATAGCCCAATGACATAAAATAGTGTACGAACCACGATCGTTATGGTTTTTTAAAAAAGTTTTTTCTCAGTTCAGGTTTTTAAATTATTCCTAGCAGTTCAATTCAAATGTAAATAGTGCGAAAAATTTATTTCCTACAGAATTTAAATGATTATAAACTTCATCTCCAACTCAAAAAATTGATTTGGCACCCAGAAAAATCCTTGGCCATTGTCCAAGGCTGCGGATCACGCCGTAAAGCGGATAATGGTTGCCGTTAGCAGGTCGGAGGGCCAATGAATTTTCAGACTAAAATCCCAAACAGTTAGATGTCCAACCAGTCCCTTCCACCTTTCCGAAGATCTTTACTTGATGGGATTTACGAGGATGCGGGTTATAAGAGCTCCCCTAACGTGAAACAAGTCTTAGTGAGGTCATCGATCTTTCAGTGGGTCGAATACCGATGAAAAAAAAGAATAAAAAAAGGCGGAAATTTCGTATCTATATTCTTATACTTTGTGAAAAATCAGTTTGCAGAATCGCGTGACTGCATACAGTCAACTCTCTCCTCCGTCTCACCCCCAGTGCTTGACTTTACGGCCGCCACCACGGTTATAGGGCCACCTTAATACCCCCCACCATACCCCCTACTGAGTAAATAAATTTCTCCATTTTTCAAAGATATATTCATCGAAATAGGTTTGAGAATAATACCATATGAATATAAGAAATTCTGCTTACATCATTTCTAATCATGACATCTGCACACGAAAAAAATAAACTTTGTTCTGAATTATTCCAATGCCCAATCCCAACCCACACATCCCATCATTATTGATAATAATAATGAATTAAGGAGCAGATAGCTTGATTAAACATTTTGATTTGTATTTTCGATTCAAGGATTTGAATTTCTAAATTGAGTTAATTGATATTTTCAAATCAGAAAAAATAACCAAATGATATTTTGGTTTCCATATGAAACTATCCTTGAGCTGAAGTGAACCCT